CTCCTTTCCGGCCTGAGCACGAGGGAATCTCCATTGTTATTCTGCTAATCCCTTTAAGATGTAGCATTCGAGGCCAAGAGACTCCCTCAGGCCCGAAACTGGATATTCTGCCTGTGGCCCAGGCGAAACAGAGTTCGGATGACTGACTGCCTAGTAGCTCGACAATCTCATGGCACATCCGTTCCCCCTATGCCTATGCCGGACCACGCGGCGTACCGAGAAACGTTTGACCCATCTGAGTGGTGGAGGAACGGCCAGCAGACGAGGGAGGTCCAACAGCAACAGCAACAGCGTACAGTATGCCTGTCCGACTCTCGGCCAGACGACTTGCATACCCGGCCAAGGCTGCGGCAAGTAGAGTGCGTAGACCTTCTCGGGCCCTCTGTAGGGATGGAACATGTCGGGATAAACAGGCCTGCTGCCCGAGCCACCAAGCAAGGTCAATCCAGACAGAACCAGAACCGTGCCAAGCACCAGCATGTGAGACAGCCCCAGCTCGCCCGTCAAACCCCTGCCGACTCGTGGGTAGCAAGTGGGGGTTCCGACATGGCGTTCCATGCGAGTGCTTGGAGGCGTTCAACTCCACTGGCTCCCGTACCCAGTACCGACCCTCGACTGCCTGTCTCGAACATCGTCAATGGATGGTGTAGCTCGGCCGGAACATACACGCATATGCGACTAAAATAAGCATCTGTAGCCAGGGGGTCCTCCTACCTCTTTCTGTCATTTTCGACCACCTCTGAGTGTTTAATTCTTCTAATGGAAACCAAAGCCATTATACATGCCAACCGGGAGATTGTGCAGGTACCCCAAAGAGCCGGCATGATGGGCCAATAGAGATATCCTCAGATCTCCAGACCAGACACAAGCCAAGAGTTCGGATGTCGCATGACCAGTCCCCGAGAGAGTCGCATGCCAAGCAGCAGCGACGACCACAAAGAACCATCGTCTTCCAACCTCACTAAGACGGCGTGAGGGAGCAACCAAGTCCCGGGATTGGTGGACAGATGGCACACTGACGCGAAAGCCAGCAGCCTCGCCAGCCTCCAATAAAAGCCACCGTCCTCAGTCAGCCTGTGTAAGCTGAGAGATCACAAGCGGACTCGCGCCAAAATGGCCCTGGAAGGGTGACGTCTGCGACGGGCGTTGCTGGCATGAAAACTGGGCCTCGAACCCGCCGGAGGTTGCTCTTCATGGAGTTCATTATGGGGTTCGCTCGTTCGCGGAGGCAAGAATACACTTGGTCCCCAGAGTTCTCCGCTCTCACAGCGAGTGATGAGTACAGGGGAGCTAGTTCTGTTTGAGAGGCCGTCATTTCCCTGACCAGTTCATTGCTTGTAACATCTGAACGATGCCAAATCTTCCAGAAGAAAGCGTCAAGCCAAAGGGACGGAGCCGCAACCGCAGCCGCAGAGCCAAGTACCGGAACGGTAGCGGCGACATCCATGGCTGGGACAATACGCCGTAACTCGATCGTGTGTGTGTGTGTGTGCGTGTGGCTGCCAGCCATCGAAGAACGGCCGACCACTTCTCATATTTGAACGACAGGGCTACTCTCCCCTGCATCTTGAATAAAGCTCTGCCGCACAGCAACGTACGACGGACGAACTCGAACAAGAGATGGCAGCACTGATGGTTGCCGCAGGTGACTGGCCTCGAGGATCTGCCAGCTATGGGCCCAGGTCATGGCTCTTGAGCTCCATCCGGTTGAAGCTCGACAGCACAGCTGTGGCTCAACCGTTCAACAGCCAATGTCTCTGTACCCGGAACTCGTGCCGTGTGGGATGCATGTGGCGTTCGGCCAGATGGACCCGCCGCCCAGCTTATCCCGGGACATGCCAGGGCGACCCTAGCTCAAGCTCACGCATGCCCGTGGGGCCTGGAAGGGGTTCCCTAGATGCAGCACCAGGTTGCTCAACCCATCTAGCGGGGGACAAAATACACGAGACTGAATTGGCTGTGCCCTCACCTCCCTGAGTCTCGTGTTTTATGTCCCCCGCTGGCCCATCTCCATCCCCCATGCCCATTTCCTTTTCTGATCTTGCCTCCGAGAACATGAGAGACCAAACATCGGTGCGGCAAATTGCCACAGATGCGATCGCCAGATGGTTGGCGAGTGCTGACGATGCAAGACTCCACTGACAGGCAGTCCGACTTCGCAAAGACGTGTATCCGTACCTCGGCAGCAGCATCCTTGACCTTGAACAGTGATAATATCGACCGAGAATCATGGAGAATGATGAGGCTCTGACTTTGAGGTCAAGTCCAGCAAACGGGTAGATCTGACGAGATGGTCTCGATCCACGATGGAGCTGGAATTAAGCCTTCAATCCACGTGTCGTATGGTGTTGAGGCGAAAGTCGAAACCCACCATACCTATGGGACGACAAGCCCAGCCGTTGCCAGCCCAGTTGAGCGTGTCGGTACATGTAGGCAGGCCATAGGTGATGATAGACATAGAGGTACCGTTGGAAGCGGGTTTGGCCGCCTGAACGTGCGGAAGCGGGAGCTGGAGGCTGTGAGAGTCGTGGTTGAGGCGGCTAACGAGGAGGCCATGCTAGGGCGGCTCCACAACTGCGGGCACATATCGTCCGTGTGTCCTGGAGTCCATCGCCCATAGTCTATCGGCTCTGTGCTAAGTGGATTTGATCCATGGCCCGCCATCGCTTGTCGCTGCCCAGGCCGAGCGCCAGAAGCCATGATCCATGGGCTCGGAGACCAGGGCCTAGCGCCCATCGACCGAGGACGGACAGGCCAGACCCTTCAGAAGCTGCACACTCCGACGCCCTGAGTCCAGCGCGTGGGTCCGGTCGGCGCCAGCGTCAGAGTGTGTACGGTCTTTGCCCGAAGAACCGAACCAGAGTGGCCAGTCATGGTTGTGGTGTTCGTCAGCCCACGAGCGTCTTTGCTGTACTCTGTACATGGCGGATTCACTTTTGTCCCTCTTTAATGACGGCCTCATGAGGCTGATTCGCTAGATGAAAGAGGTGTGCAACGCTGTTGGTGATGAAAAGGTGCTGATGCTTTTTCTAGATGGATGCATGAGAGAAGAGGAAATATTTCAGGTGCCACCTTGCAGATGTAAGCGTCGATGAAACCTAGGGAGAGTACCTACTGCGCTTTCCACGTACGGGAACAGTTCGGAAAGATCTCGCTTCATCTGGCATCCGCAGTCGGAGGAGCTAAAGTGCTGAGGGAAAAAAGATGACTGGGAATAACGCCGAGCTCGCGCAGATTTTTTTTGAGGGGTTGTTGAGGAATAGAACGAGTACAAAAGCAAAGGGGACGTGAACTCATACTACAGTATAGAACTGAACATGGATCAAGACCCCGTATATCTGAATTGTCCCGTAGATTGATCTGTCGACAATGCCAACCCAACGTGCCTAGAGGCTGTGACAAGGGCTCAAGCGTCCCTGTCGATGACGAGGATGTTCCCCCACCGAGATGCCAGGTCTCATTCTGGAAATATGCAAGTAACTGGCTCTTCCCATGACTTCTTCATGGGTGCCCGTGGCCCTGGCTCCATGAGGGCGGAAAGGACAAGCTCATGTATGTCCGGATGTAGGAAGCCATACATCGCGCTAAGCACCTCCTCCAACCATGCTGCGTACGTGCCCAACCAGGCGGCCGCGAGAATGCTTAGCCGGAGCTCTAAGCATCTTGTGAAGGAATATATTTGGCATAACATCTTGTCAAGGCTGGCTCAATCTTGGGACAGGCATCTCTCGATGACTCTTGTGCAGCAAAACGCGCATCGTCTATGGGAGAATTCGGGCCTAAGTGTAGTGGCGGAGCGGGTTCAGTTCCACGCTCCGCTCGATTGGGTCCATCAGGACGAGTCTTGGCCGGCAGCTAAAACGGAGGTTAACGTGCTGTTGAAGAGACATTGGACAGTCTCGTCTCGGGGGTCGATGTGCGAGGCACCGAGAAGGGATAGATACTTTGAGCACTAACAATTTTCGAGGTTGGTACCTAGTACTTTGACTTGGATTTGAATGGAGGCAGACACCCGACTCGAGGTCCCTTCTCCATATCCCCTCTCGTCCCCAACTTAAGACTTGGCTCCCGTCTCCTCTCGACTCTCAAAACCCTCCACATCCCCCGTCTTTTACCTGACAAAAAGGCTGAATCTATCTCATGCGCACGCGCACACGCACACGCACCGTCCCTGACCCTGACCACCCTGCCCTTGACCGTCCCGGTTACACAAGCAGACCAGACGGACACCCGGCCCCGTCTGCCTCCCGCTGAGAGGTGCCCGCTCGCCCGCTGGGCTCTTTCATCCAAGGTACCTACCACCTACTCCCAGCCGGGTGCCCACTGGAGTGCCCCGGAGCATCCCCCCAAACACCTCCATCCATACCCTGGCCCCACCACCAGACCAGATCCTGGTGCGCAACCTGCGCGCAGTGCAGCGCGGGCAACACGCAGCGCAGCTGGTGCACATTAGGTTGGCCTCGCCGCTTCTGGGGACGGGACTCCATCCCTCCAGCTCTCACTGGACTGGAGCGCGCGCTCGCAGATTCTCTTCAGGGCTCCTCCGCTCCAGCTAGCTTGCTCGGGCTGGGCAACGCTTGATTCAAGGTGTGCTTGAGCGGCATCTGCGTGCAGCAGTGCAACCCACACTCCGACCCTTCACACACCCTCCCACCAAAAGCCATCCGTGGGGGCTCTGTGTTCCTTCTTCTTTCTTCGTCAGCCTCTCACACTCTACTCTCACTCACGCTCACACTTCCTTTTCCTCTCTCTCATAGCCCACTGTCCGCTCCATAGGGAATGCTCATACGCACCTCATTCTCAATCGCAAACTCAAGCCAGTATTCGTCATGAATCCCACAATAACAGAGCACGACTTTCGCTTTCCCCGGAGGCCCAGCGCCTGGCCCAGCGCCGCCGCTCACCACGCTCCCACTCCCATTCAGCGCGGCGGCGGCCGGCCGGGCCACCTCCCGAATGCTCGCGACGCCTCGGCCAGCTTCAAGGAGCACAACGCCGACATGTCCAGGACTTATGCCGTCGCCAGAGGTGGCCTTGCGGGCCCGGCTCTATTTCCCTTTCTCCAGAATGGACTCACCGAATCCGACCAGGGCATCTACAAGATGCAGCAAGACGATCCGCTCGCCACTCAGGTCTGGAAGTTCTTTGCGAGAACCAAGCAGCAGCTGCCCAGCCAGCATCGCATGGAGAACTTGACCTGGCGCATGATGGCCCTCAGCATGCGAAAACACCAGCAGGAGCAGCAGAGAAAGGTGGATGAGGCCGAGGCGCGCAAGAGGAAGAATATGGAGGCCAACAATAGGTACGCCAATCGCCTTTTATGCACTTCATTGCCATTCGCCCTCATCGATGGCTCTCGCTTGTCCATCGTCCATGACGTGCTGACCAGGGCCACAGGCTCGCTCGACCCATGATGCAGAATTCTCCCAGCGGCATTGCTCAGCTGCGAAAGTATTCCGAGAACAACATGGCCCAGCCTGACGCCATGAATCTCGACGACTTCATCTTCTCCGACAACGCCGACACTCCCGTCAACTTTTCGTCTCCTCAGGACTCCGATAGATTCGATGACAGGCCCGGAAACTCAATGGCTTCGGCCATCCCCATCAAATCCCGCAAGGAACTGTCGCACCACTTTGTCCCTCAGTCTGTACCAGCCCAGAACCACCAGACGAACCAAGGCACTGAGTTCAACTACGTGAATCGCCATCTTCGCAAGACCAGCATCGATGACCGCCGGGTGAGTGACCTCACTGACCCCTCATGGGGCCTATTGTGGCTGGCTGTGGAAATTCCCCCCTCCACCTCGAGCGCAAAACTCCAAAGTTGTCGTCTTCTGCATGTGACAGCACATTTACTTTGAGCGCGGCTGCTGACTTTACTCTCGTCTAGACTCGAAAGCGCCCCGCTGATTTCTCACCACAAGTGCCGGCGGCAAACACTACGGCTCAGAATGATCTTGATCTCGACTCTGAGCTGCATGACTACTCTCTGGATAACCCTCACCCGGCCGGCATGGCCCAGCAGCCCGGCAACCCTAGCGTGCCCTTTAACCTCGATACCTTCATGGAGAATGACCCCATCATGAACTCGAATGGAAATTTCCAGCAGGGTTTCTCATTCTCTCCCTCTACCTCACCTATGATACCCAATGTTCCTTTCCCTGGCATGTACCAGAATTCTTCCGTACCCCCGGCGCCCATGAGCAACACTGCCGACCTCTACTCGCCGACAGGTTCCGCCTATCAGTCAACAGCATCAACACCTCATCCTATTCCTGAGCAGGACGGCTTCTACTTCAACAGCCAAGATGGTCGATCTCAACGGCCCCAGGCCTTCCAGCAGAGCATCGGAGGCATGCTCAGCCAGCAGTTCATGTACAACGGCACCAACGGAAACAGCGGCAGCACCATGTTCTCCGCCCCAGGAACTGCGACAGAGTCCATGTCTGCGTACAGCACTGCTCCCAGCTCTTTTGGACACATCGACCCATCTCAGGTGTTCCAGGGTGACCAACCCGTCACTTCACCAACCATGCAGATGCAGCAAGACAACATGTTTTCCTTTGGAGCAGACTCGGATGACGAAGACAATGCATTTGCCGACCGCAATGTGGCAATGCAGAAGGATATGTCGTCGTCTCTCGATGAATCTGGCACCATGGGCTGGGATGCCTCGCTCCCTGGACAGTTCAGCACTCAGGCTGCCCGCTTCCCCGGCGGCCCACCCCGCAAGCAGGTGGTTATTGGAGGATCAACGACTGATTATGTCGAAGCCAATGGTGAATGGGATACAAACGGCCTTGCAAGGTCACAATCACAGTCATTCAGGCCAGGAAACCCAAGGAGGCAACCGAAATTGACGCGGAATGCCTCAACTCCAGCACATCTGGCTGGGAAGCAGAATGGTTTTGAACAACTCGCTCAGTCGATGCCGATGTCGCCCAATGGTGACAGGAACGGAACCATGTCTGGATTCTCCTCGGTCGCGCCAAGCCGGCCTTCGTCGCCTCCGGGATCGAAGCATGGCTCCACGACGAACCTGCAAGCTGCTGCTGGCAACGGCAACAATGCTAACGGCGATGGAAATGCTCCGACCACGTGCACCAACTGTTTCACTCAGACAACGCCTCTGTGGAGACGAAACCCTGAAGGACAGCCTCTGTGCAACGCTTGTGGACTCTTCCTCAAGTTGCACGGCGTTGTGCGACCATTGAGTTTGAAGACGGATGTGATTAAGAAGAGGAACCGTGGATCGGGGTCCAATGTGTCAGTTGGTGGAAGCAGCACAAGGTCCAAGAAGACTGCCAGTGCTGCAGCATCTCGGAAGAACTCGACCTTGTCCATGTCGACGATGGCTGCCAACAGTTCCAAGAACAACGCCACCAGCCAGCCTCCAAAGACCGTGACAACACCGCCTGCTTCTAACCGGCCTCAGAGCAACAAGGATGTGGAAAGCCCCAGCAGCGGCCCTAACTCGGGCGCCAACACTGCAGGAAGCACTCCAAACAGTCACTTTGGGGCTTCCAACTCAAGCAGCGGCGCTGTGGGCGGCAAGGGTGTCGTTCCTATTGCAGCAGCTCCGCCCAAGACAAGCCCCGGGCCTGGCGCATCGTCCATGTCGGTTTCGAGGCCTTCGACTGTCTCGTCGAAACGACAACGTCGTCACAGCAAGAGTGTTACGGCCGATGCACCGATCAGCATGGACATCGACAGCCCCGAATCTACGGGATCTATCGATGCCCCGCGCCCCTTTGGTTCTTCAGCGGGGCTCTCGAGTTTACCTGGTGGCATGTCAGCAAGTGGTTTCAACCTGAACCAACGGCCTTCAACACTCGGATCGGGTACAGGGTTGATCAGCATGTCAGGTGGACAAAACAACTCGTTGATTGGAAGCTCGGCCGGTCCTCAAGAATGGGAGTGGCTTACCATGAGTCTTTAATCGCATCGACCCGGCGAGGCTATAGTTCTGGCATCCCAGATGGTAGTGCCCATCATCATCACTTTCACCCCTGCCAGGGCTGGTCTTTCTGGCAAGGGGCGCGATGTCGCGAAATCACTTGACGATGGATGTAATCGATTTTGTTGGCGTTTGGGAGACGTGGGCGTTTATTATTACACGACAACTTGATACCTCATCTGGATACAGGGCAGATTGCGTCTCTTCTTTGGTTATATGTTTATGGGTCTCTCCAGGGTGCTGCTCCGTCGCCGTCACCACTCGGCACTTTGTTACGATTCTATCAGGCTACCTACTCACGACGGCATGAAAGAACTGGGAATGGATCCATTGTTTTGTCACGAAGACTTGTTTCCAGGGATGAGTGGCACACTCTTTGGAGATCCTGACGATATGATATGTATGGGTGGCGCGATTCTTCTGTCTTTTTTGCAGGACTTTATAGAGAACAAGAACCGGCCATGTATGGGCGGACTGGATGGATGGATGGGATGGGATGGTCCTTGAAGGCCCGGATTTGATGACTTTTTGGACAGCGGCTTGCGATAGAATTACCTCTTGACGCTTATATGCGTGTCTGGGGCGAGATAATATCATTGTCACTATGATACCACTTGAAAGACCACATCTGTTTCACTTGAAGTCACGCGTTGTAAACTCCTACACGATAGCATTGACTTCTATCTTTTTTCCTTTTCCTTTGTAACCCCCAAACACCTCTCGTCGTCAACAGCAAGCAATTATACCCGAAGCCTGACCACAGGCAGACTCCTCCTTGTCACTGGCCCTCATCCATCCATCCATCATCATCATAATCAGGTCCTTAAAACTCCCGCCTGCCAAAACGAAAAGAAAAAGAACTCGACTGCAGCATGCAGAAGGGAGTACATGACCAAAAAGTGATAATACAGCAGAGTCAAAAGCAGCCAAAGTGCAACAAAAATACTGGCCATGGCATGGGGTGGAGGTCAGGGGCGGTCCTCATCACCATGGCGTTCCGCATCTTACAGTCCTTCCTTTGCCGCCTTGAAGCCAAAACAAACGTGTGTCAGAGGAGGGCTCTCCCCTGGCGAACAATTCCACGCCAGCCGGCCCTTCTTGGACTCCGAGGCTCGCTCTAGAGCATTGTTCCGAATGTATCATCCGTGGGGATACGCTTTCGAGGGCTGCTGCCGTCTTCTCCGGCAGGCTTGCGGTGTCTGAATGTAAAACCAACAAAGAGACTCTTGCTCATTTGGTCTTCGCGTTCAGCCATGGTTTCGAGGGCCTGCTGCTTCTCGTGCACCTCCTTGTACTTGGCCATGTCCGCCTCGTTGGTAAAGTCATCAAAGTAGCCAGCGTCAGTCTCTGAGTCCAGCTCAGGAACAAATGGCGCACGAGTCTGACGGAGAGTCTCCCAGTCGACCTCGGCAAAGTAGTGGTGAGCACAGATATCCTTAATGTTGGAGAATCGCCTCGTGCGGGAGTTGATGCACCTGCAGCTGTTAGTTTCCACAACCATCAAGGGCCGATAGGTTACTTACGTGGTGATAAAGTTCCAGGTCCTGTTGCTGAGGAAATAGTTAGGGTCCTCCCACACAGGTCTCTTTAGTACCTCCTTCCAGTGCTTCAGATTACGCCATGTCTCGTCAGGAGTGGCACCCGCAAAGGGAGGAAACCCAGTCAGGGCCTCAAACAGCATGCATCCCAAGCTCCAGTAATCCACCGTGAAGTCATATTCCTCCCCTCTAAGGACCTCCGGGGCCATGTAGTCGGGTGATCCCACAATGGATTTGGCATAGTTGACGTCGTTCTCGCGCATCGTTCGATAGCTCTCTCGGCGTTCAGCCACGGTTCGCTGATCCATGGGCTTTCCGAAAGGGACTGCCGTCTCGGACGCTTTCTCGAGCTTGATGCGCATTGACTCGATCCGAGAAGGTGCCAGGACACCAGCAGCCAGACCGAAGTCTGTCAACTTGACATGTCCAGTAGAGTCCACCAGGAAGTTCTCGGGCTTGAGATCTCGGTGGATGTAGCCAAGCTGATGAAGAGCGTCGACGGCACAGAACATCTCGGCGATGTAGAATCGGGCGTGGCGGTTTGACAACACACCAGTGTTGTTAAGCAGAGTGCGGAAGTCTCCGCCAGGCACGTACTCCATGGCAAGATAGATACTCTTTTCATCCTGGAAAGAGTAGAGAAGCCTGACGAGCCACTCACTCTGCGCAGTGGTGAGAATGTCTCGCTCGGTCAGAACGTGGCGGACCTCGTCAAGCTTGAAAAGAAGCTTCTTGCTCATGACCTTGAGCGCGCAGACTTCTCGGGTGTCCTTCTTCTGAGCCAAGAAGACTTGGCCGTAGCCACCTTGTCCAACCTGGGTCAGGATCTGAAAGTCACCGTGTCGGAGTCGAACTCGTCGCTTGCGAAGGTTTGCTCGCTCTCGTCCTGTGTACTTTGTCCACATCTTACTGTGTGTCTCCTCGTCGGTTTCTGGGGGTGGGGGGTATTCGTTCTTAAAGGCGGCCAATCGGTTCTGTCGGGCCCCGACATAGGTGAGAAGATCGAAATAATAGTCGAGGAAGTCTAGGGGAGGTTAGAAAACAAAACCAGGCGGACATGAGGGAACTCACAAAGCTGGGTAACGTTGACCATGCGTTTCACGTTGGGCTTCTGAAGAATCTCACGCTCCTCAGCTGTCAGGCCTCGAGCCGTGTTAAACCTCTTGGTCCCAGGCGTGGTAGGCCGGTCTCTGTGGTCCCTGTGCTCGTAGAGCTGCTGGCGAGAGAGGGCAGCATGGTTGTGCTGATGAGGAGAGTCGGTGCCAGCTAGGCGGGAAGCAGGCGGGGTGTTTTCTTGGCCCTGCTTCTTGAGGGGGCTTCCCGACCTAGACTTGTGGATGACACTGTCATCAACATTGGCGCTGGACTCGTCAAGAGGCTGTGCGTTGCTGCTCTTGCCAGGCGATAGCGATAGCGGGGTCACAACACTCTGGGGACGGCCCAGTCTCAGAGGAGGCTCGAGGCCGGGGGTGAGGGTCATCGCATGGTCGAATGCAGCGGGGAGATCGTTGGCGCCAGGAGGGTTCGTCTTCTTGCTGGGACTGCCTTGGGGAGTGCTAGGAGGATTGATGAAGTTGTCTGACTTGGGCGTGGCGGGTCGGGGGAGGTTAGAGTCGCCAGCACTTCTGTCTTTTCCTCCAGGGAAGAAGCTGGACATGAAGCTAGCCATGGTTGTTGATCTTGTCGGCGCGTCGTCGGCTTCGGGGAGAAGAAGTCGAGGGTGGCGCCTACGAGGCGGAGAATGGTGATGTTATTGTCGCGATGACCGTGTCGAGGGGTAACTTTGGAGAGGTCTCGGCTTTGGGCAGCAGGCGGTGGGGGGCGCAAAGATAAGGACAGTACCTGCAGAGGCTGAAACTGGCGGGGGAAATGGAAAGGAGAAGAAGGATAAAATGTTGGGAAACAGGCAATTCCCTTTTGTTTGGTTTAGCCAGGCCTGAGAGAGACGAAGCAGAGAGAGAGAGCGAGGAAGTGAGATCAGACCAAGACCAATGCCGTTGGTGGAGGTGGATGGATGGAGCAACAGCAGGAGGGACCTTGAGGTGGTAGGTACCTGAGTTGAGTTGAGTGGATGTTTTGGAATGACGTCGTGTTATTGGTCAAGCGACCTCGTGGATCAACATGGTTGCAGCAGCAACTATCGAGATCTCCTTCCTCCGATGGTGGGACAATTGGTTTTTCCGAGGAAGGTCCGAGACACGACAATCAAGGGCAGGAATGATGCTCTTCGAAACGACATGATGTTTTGCCCATGGTTACATTCATGTCATTGTGACGGAATGTGCCTGAGTATTCTCTTTTTGGAGGGCATTATCAAATAGCCTTTCAGGGTGCCTGCTCAATGCTGCTCAACCATGTTGCTGGGACGAACTGGCCAATTGACCTTGAGTCTGGTCCCCTTGAATGCATTTCAGCGTTTTCCATAAAACTAAGACAAATGCACAATGATGAAAAAGGTTCATAGCTTTCTTGCTACAGATAAAGTGGCGTTGAGCCGTTGCCGAACTCAGATGTGTACCCATCCCAAACGGGGATAAACATTGTCAGTTGGACCCTTTGTTTTGAAAAGTAGCCACCAAATGTGTTTGAGAATGCTTCGATATTAAAGAAGAAAAAGAGTCATAACATTTCAGTTTCTTCTTTTATTCAATTGATCTAGATATCATGCATAAACGCGGCTGGTCGATGCATATCTACCTCGTTCTCACGAATCCAAGCTTTTACCTACCCGGCACTTTGATCACGGGCCTCTGCTGAGCCTCTGATTCCTCCCTCAATTCTATCGCCTGTTTACACTGCGTACTTTCAATCAGGGCCAAAAATGAATGTGCTGCGCCCGTCATTCTCTACCTTGAGTCGCTTAAGGTCGTCCAGATTAGAATATCAAACACCTGGGCCCAATGGCTCCATCATCGCCAAGACAGTGAGAAGAAACGAAATTGTTTTATGATGAGCAATCTCGCAACTTCGGTTACAGACCCCACGTCATGGATTCACTAGTGCCCTTTGTTTATGCTTGTGAATGGAATTGGCATTGTTTGCTCGGTAAAAGTCGTACTCGGTTCGACGGCTACTCTAGTCTTCGTCTCCAACTCCGGCATCGATTCTATATCTAATACATCCCACATCCATGTATCCTCCAACTCCCTCGTTACCCGTGCCTGCAAACAGTTAGCATTAATGAAATTCACAGAGGAGTCATGATTCAACTTACATCCATCCCAGATGTTGAACAACACCCGGGGGCATGAATCTCCATCATCTCCCATCGGACTGTATGGTGATTGGGTGTTGTCTCCCTCCAGCACGCATCCCTCAATCCAGTATATGGAATACTTAAAGTTGATACCGTTCACATCTTGTTGGATCTCGTCCCAAATACCCAGCTCCTCCTTTGATTCGTCATCCGTGTACTCGTCGTTCGGGGAGAGTGGGTGTCGCTGGCAGATCTGCTCGGCCGTGCCCTCGACGCTGCTCTTGTAGATGTCGGCATGGCCTTGGAAGTCGGCGGCATCGTTGCAGACAGGATCTGAGGACTCGAGGGGAGTGACCGACTCTGTTGGTTCCTCTTCCTCCGTTTGAGTCGTTGTTGGCTCTGGATCTTCTTCTTCTTCTTCTTCTTCGATCCAGTAGCTGTACTTGCCGCATCCCACGTCGACCTCACCCTCGGCGTAGATACCATCTTCTCCCGCGAGAGCACAAACCGCGGAAACCTGACCAAAGGCGCCGATACAATTCTCGAGGCAGTCGTTTTTGCCGTCCTCTCCCGTCCATTTAAAAGTGTACTTGTACCCACCGCATTTGTCCTCCCGCTTGGCAAACCACGAAGACCATAGACTGCGCTTCTCATCAGCAGAAAACTGGTCCTCGCTCGTCAGTTCCTTAGAGAGCTCGTTCTTCTTGTTCTTGTTGACCTCTGTGCAAAAGGTCGGGAACAGTCCGATGAAGCACGTATAATCAATTCCAGTCCTGTCACCGTCACACTCAGGGGAGATCAAGTTTAGCGCGAGCTCGAAGCCGGCGTCATCGAAAAAGTCCTCGAACCAGTCGTCGGCCTCCTTGTCGGGGTCTGGAGAGTCATTCGACTCGTCTGTTTCCTCGAGGGGTCCAAACATTTCATCCAGAGGCACAGTCTCAATGGCATAGGTGGTGGTGGTGCTCTGCTCCCCTGTGACACATCCAGAGGTCGCTGGGCAATCCCCAAACGTGGTAGTCAAGTAGTCTTCTCCCTCCCAATCGAACGAAACAGTCTTTGTGCATTCTGGTGGCTGCGTAGCAGTGCACTCGGAAGATGTTGAAGTCGGCTTCGTCGAAGTAGGGTCTTCCTCCTCATCGTCATCATCATCATCGTCTTCGTCGTCGTCCTTATCGTCGTTCTCAGGCTCTTTAGTGGGAGCTGGGGGGTGGTTTGTGGGAGGGTTGCCCTTGGGAGACCATTTCCAACCTCCAGGGAAGATGACGATGACACCGCCATCATCATCAGTAGTTGTCAAGGTCTCGGTAAGGCCGCTGTGCTGAGGGTCCTTTGTTGGCGTATACGTCACGACAGCTCCGTCAGTACCCGTCACGACTTCTTCGGTCTCGGAAGCCTCTGTAGGCTCGGGGCTCTTGGTAGGGTCGTTCGTGTCATCTGAGGTCTTCTTGGGAGGTTCCGTCGTCTTTGGCGGGACCTCACTTGCTGGTGATGTCTCTGGCTTGTCTCCCGTTGTTTCCGCCTGGTCTTTGGTAGTTACTGGCTCTGCAGCGGTGGTTTGATCGGCGGTTTCCTCTGGCTCCTCGGTTGTGTTTGGGAGATCCTGACTTGCCTCTGTTGTTCCTGTGAGCTCTCCCGTGGGCTCTGATGCCTCGGTTGGCTCTTCACTTGCGGCTGAGGTGTCTTGACCCTCCGTGATCGCTGAGGTTTCCGCAGGTGTTCTAGTGGCTTCCGAAGTGTCTGGCTGCTCTGCTGTCGCTGCTGAAGTCTCTGTTGGTTGCTCCGTAGCTTGTGACTTCTCTGTCTCGCTGTCGGTGGCTGTGTTGGTGTCGGTTGGATCTTTGGAGGCAATACCGGTGTCTGTTGGGTTCTCTGTGTTTCCTGCCGTGTCGGTAGGCGCCTCTGAACCGGTTGTAGTATCTGGAGGGACTCTAGAGGTTTTCTCCGTGTCCGTCGGGTTCCCAGTCTGTACCCCAGTCTCAGTCGGGTCCTGAGTGTTTGCTGCCGTATCTGTGGGGGGCTGAGGCGCTGTTTCTGTGCCAGTGGGAGCGCCAGAGCTTTCTACAGCATTCGTTGGGTTCTCAGTGTTGGCCTCTGTGTCTGTGGGCTCTCTCGTGTTGACTTCTGTCTCAGTTGGGTTGACAGAACCTGTAGCTGTGTCTGTTGGGTTCTGAGAGTTTATCACGGTGTTGGACGTGCTGGCTGCACCTTTTGTGCTGGTCTTGACTAGGGTTTCGCTTGGCTTCCCAGTACCTGCGGAAGTTTCTCCTGGTGCTGCAGAAGAACCAAAGGATACACCTTCTGAGGTACCGGCAGGGATCGATGGTCCCGTAGCCGTGTCTACTGGTTTGCCAGTTGCAACTGAGGTATCGGGGAGGCCTTCGGAAGCTGGGCTAGTCTCTCCAGGCTTCTGAGATTCTGCTGAGGTGGCGACGGGATCTGCACCAGATCCAAAAGAGGCAGACTGAGAGGTATCAACGGGAGCTCCAGGAACTTTAGTGCCTGTCTCATGCGAAGCATCTCCAGTCGTCACCCCAGGGTTAGGGGGAACGACCGATGTGCCTCCCGCAGCAGCTGAGGAATCAAAGGAGGCCATGCCCGTACTCCCTGCAGAGCTCCCAGGTTCTTTTCCAGTACCATTTGGATCTTCAGGACCGACTGAAGTTTGTCCAGAGGCAGCAGAAGAATCAAAGGATGCTCGAGCAGAGGTTTCTGCCCCGTTTCCAGAACCTTGGGACCCTGTTGGGTTTGAAGGAGCTCCAGTGTTGTTTGGGTTCTCTGGGGTGACAGAAGTCTCACCCGAAGCAGCAGACGAGTCAAAAGAAACCGCTGCAGTGCCTATCGGGCTGCTTGGCTCCTTCACCGTGCCGTCTGGGTTCTCAGGTTGAGCCGAGGTCTGACCAGAAGCAGCGGATGAATCAAAGGATGCTGCTCCAGAGGTTTCTGCTGGACCCCCAGGCTCTTTTTCGGTACCGTCTGGGTTGTTGGACTGAGCTGAAGTCTGCCTAGCGGCCGCAGAGGAGTCGAAAGATGCGCCGGCCGAGGTTCCTGTCGCGTCTGCAGCTGAACCTGTTGATTCCTTTCCTGGAGTTTCCCCCGGGCCAACAGGAATGACAGTTGAAGGAGATGGGATATGAATTGAAGTGTAATCCGGACCATGGGGCCTACAATGAGGCCGTTGGCGTGTGGTAGTAGTTTGACTCGAGACTCCAGGAACCTCAGGGTATGGATTGTACACAGGGCTATCAGCCACTGTGCCAAGTGGTGCCAAGAGTGACAGTGCCAGGAAGCCAAGCTTCCACGAGGCCGGCATTGTGAAGGTATGATAGGGCAGGTAACGACTGGCAGAAGAAAGGAGTGAAGAAGAATGATGAGACAGAAGTGAATGTGAAGAGCTCGGTTGGGACGATGAGCTGGAGGTTGGGTGAAGGTCCTGAGACTCTCGGATAATATCCCGGCGGTGGTAATATAGCTTTCCAGGCGTCTCATACAATGATCAACACCACGAATGGGGTAGATTCATGACCCACTACTCCTGTGGCTCCTCCCTGTTCATCTTAGTTCATGTCGAGTCAACCAACAAGCTCAAGTTACAGTTCATGAGTCGGGCCATGGGCTTGGGCCTTGCTTCCGATCCTCCTAATTAGGATCTATGAACTCAACGGCTAATCGAGGCTGAGTGATTCGAAAGGTTCAGGATTTAGTATTCATATCAAGCCCACACCTAATGGCACCGTTTCAGCTTGAGTGAGGGATTTCGCCTTGTCATGCGTTCGACTCGGAATCCTTCCGGCATAGCCTACCTAGTCTATTAATGTTCAACACAAAAGTTTCTACTCTTGTCTTTAAGCATGCTGGTTTTAAAATTCGCCAGGGACGGGATGGATCCCAGGTTGCGGCTGATCCCGTTGACGCAGGGGATCCTTGTCTGGTTGTGACAACACGATACTCCCTATTTATCCACTTTCAACCATGTTTTTTTTCGGAGTGTGGCTTCGGCTCCGGGCTATGCAGCAGGGCTTTGAAAAGTTTAAATGATATATCGAAGCGGCTGAGCCGTCAACTCCGCCTTGTCATGGATCTTGACCCATGTTTTGCTCCGTGCTCGTGTGACGCCCTGGTCGCATCTTTGGTTCCCGGTTGGTAGAAAGGTCCCCGAGAGCTTTGTCCAGATGGTTTGATGTTTATTTTCAAGATCCTTCCTCTCGGAGAGTTTGCTCCTTTCCGTAGGATCAACTTGTGACACAGTTTCTATGGTGCTACGTGGGTACGGATCGACGGATCCTACCAAGAGTAAAGAGTTTTCAAGTCACATAGAGTCCTTCAATCTTTTGGGGTTAATTATGTTAGTAATTTCAACTCCACAGTCCTTCTATTTCCCGCACCAATGTATATTCTCCACACGACAACTGCTTGTCTATGGGCTGTATGGGACTATACTCTCAAACTAAACGCTTGGAACATGGCCAGAATTCTTCACATAACAACAATAGGAACTTCCAATTCAGTCCAAAATGCGTCTTCAAGTAGATGAAATCAAAGTCCCGAGGACAAGCAGTCATAGATGTTAACTAAAAGAATACACCGCAAAGACACCGTTTCACTTGGCTGTGCCGCAACGCGGGCAAGTCATCCATGTATGGTCTGAGAACAAAAGGTCTGGGAACCTTCCTAGATGGTAGTACAACACATCAGATCATGCATCTTGGTGGACCCCGGGTCTAGGATCTGGCCGGAAATGAAGCCCGTTGATCATCGTTTTGGCCAGGGACTCCACAAATAGAGTTAATATATGTGTAACTACGGGGCTGAGCGCTTTCACGGACCAACAGCATACATGGTTGAGGTCCTGCTATTATTCACGGTTCCGATCAGGTCGAGTATGAAAGGTTCGGGATGATAGTTGCAATATAAACGGCCGATTAGCTTTGTCTCTCAATTTCTTTTTACTATTCCGGTCCCGTTTACCTGCTTTGGTCTTCTCCAACGACTATCCTTTCCTTACCAGTCCTTAACCCTTGTCTATACACATTCATTCTTCCCACACTCGTTCACATGCGTACACTTCAGCTGGGCTGGCTTCTAGCCGGCTCCCTGACCTTCCTCGGTCAGGTCCAGGCCCAAGAAGACTTTACAGTCGGCGGCTGGACTTTTGACGGAAGCTGCAGAGCACACAAGGACTATGTCACAAAAGGCTTCGAAGATGCCTTGCAAATGGCGACAAAGGCACAGTCAGACCTCAACTACGCCTTGCCTCGCTTTGAAAAGAAGAGCAACCCCAAGCAGACAGCTCAGTACCGTATTGCGAGGGCCATGGGCCGCTGCTTTGGGTTCATGCCCGATGCAAAGAACGACAACGCTAAAACGGATCAATGGTGGTCCAGAGTCTTTCGTAGGTCTGACTCAACCCAGAGGTGTGCGATATTGAACTAACGGCCGCTCCTGTAGAGATATTCGATGCCATGGTCCTAGGACTGCAAGGCCCAGGAGTAACACTCCAATTCGGGACCCACGTGCCTCTCATCGTATGCAAGGACGACGTCTGGACTTGGGTAGGCGCCGATGACCCAGACCCTGAAGCTCCTGATCTTGATTCTCCCGATTACGACGAAGAAGCCAAGACGAAGCTGAAGGAAGAATTCAAGATGAAGAACCGACACCCGGAAAAGTTTGCGGAAGGCTACTCGGGAGGGTGGTACTACAGGCAGCGCATGGACTGGAGGAAGAAGGTTGCCCAGAACCCTCCAGGTCAGTCCTGCATGGACGGTGCCACGGGTACCACGCTTTTCGAGCTGGACGTGATTCACATCTGCTCAGTCAATTACGAGTCCAAGTCCGTAAACGCTGGTTCCCCAGTTGGTGCTCAGATCACAAGAGACGAGACCAAGATAGGATCCTTCGACGCCAGCGTCTCCAACACTTTCGTGCATGAGTTTACCCACTGGTATGGCTCCGCGAATAGTGGACATGGGACTGAAAGGACAGTCACCCGTGAGTGTACCCTCATCCCTCTCCTAATGATTGATGCTAACCAGGTTCCTCGCTCGTCAAGTCATTGACCAACAGAGTCTCAACAAAGACGGCAAGTGGGTGTACAAGGACAAGGACGGCCAGAGTGTATACAGGACTCGCAAATCAAAAAAGAAGGGCGAGGTTATTGACGTGACTTGTAAGTTCCATAAGGCGGTATTTGGGGATGTAAACGACAAGACTAACCATCTGACAACAATAGATGGATACAAGGACGTTTCCAACCTAGCTATGAAACACCCCAACGGTAACGGTGGACCTGAATATGCTACAGAGACAGCCGAAGCATATGCCTTCTTTGCCATGATGTCGTAAGTGATGGTCCTCTGCAACGCTTGACCGATACTGACTCTCGGGGTTTCTACAGAATAATGGACGAAGCAGACTGGGCCAAAGACGGCATAGCAAGGAAGGTGTTCTATAAGAAGGCTCCATCGATGCCTTTGAAGCTCCGAGTCTAGGTTTTCCCAGGCGATTGATTCAGGAGCTGGTTTTTGATGGGGTTCGTAAACTTCGTACCCAAAGTATTGCGTTATAGAGCAGTCTTGAATTACCTCTAAAGAAACGGGCCTCAAGAGATTCAGTTTGTGGACCAAATCGAAGCAACTCAACCAATCCCTTGTGATACGTCGACTACCCAGACCCGTGACATTGTTCAGGCCTTCACACCTTTGTAGCGTCCTAACCACCCGTGTTGAATCCCGCTATAGAGTCACATGAGGTGAAATAGTGCATTGGCTATAGAGGAAGCCAGACTATGCATTGCCGATCTCGAATCTAGCCAACGCCGGTTCACCAACGGTAAGATGACGTAGGTGGTGTCAGCGGACAGCCCCAAGAAACCATCATCACGAGGAATACGAGCCAACAGTCAGCGTGTTAGCCAGAGACAAGGAATATCAACTTCCTTTTCTGCAGTGATGTTTGCATATTTATGCCGTTCTCCCGTTAGAGGGTTCATATAAAAAGCCTTCTAGGCCCCCCTTTGGAAGTTGGACGCAGCATAATCGTACTCACCCTTCTGGTCTCATCTTTTAAGCACATTCTTTTGAACCTCCTATTTACTTGGGAAAGGACGGCCAGATGCGAATATCAAATTCCAGGTACAGACAAACACATATCACTCAAATATCAATCACCACTTAGTCAACAATGACATCGTCCGACTCAAGCCGTCGCTTTCAAATTGATAGAGGCGCGTTCTCTAAGCACTACGATATCAAATCAATATCCGGAGATACTTCATTCTATGTTGACGTCTCCTCTTTCACCCCAGGAAAACCAGACCTTACCCTCCATCGAGGAGCAAGCAAGATCGGCCCGGTTGTTGCGGCCTGCCATCTTCCCAAGTTCTCAGGAGATTTGAAAATTGGCCTCGCCGGACCAGCCGGACCAGACTCAATGGCCTGGGAAGATATCACAAGAGAGTCAGTCCTCAAGGCCTCCGAGTACCGCTGGCAAACAGCCATCCCGGATATCGCAACCTCTGAGAACAGAGTACTTTTCTGGAAGAGGACTCACTCGGTTGGTGTATCTGGAATGTCACCGTCGAGTCTGAGTGTCCGAAACTTTAAGCTCGTTGATGGACAAACCGATGAGATCCTCGCCGTCTTCACCAGTGACCGGACATTGTCGGGGTGCGGAGTTTTGGAAATTCGAGCCAACCACAGGGAACAGTTTGATGTGTCGGTTTTGATTAGCTGTATAGGGTTGTATGAAAAGGCCAGACGTCGAAGTAGACGCTCTAGCGGTGGTGGTGGCGGAGGCGGCGGAGGTGGGTGAACTACCGATGCCTGTTCTCATTGTAGGGATTTCAAAAGATACGATTACGAATTGACAAGTCTTATTTCCTATCGATTTGAGCGGAATCGGATCATTGCTTCATGATCTGATCAGGCGGAACATATCTACAAGTGAAGAACAAATTACCGAGCGAAAGACTCCATCAAGCTTGGTTGTCACTGAACAAGTTGTCCCACAGATACATACCGGACTAGGCAACCCAAGGAGTGATTTTATTGCTGTATATAGGGATTCTCTCTATTTATTATCAGAATCCCGTCTATCTCTCAATTGGATTAGCTGTTCTTTGTTCTCACCGTTGAGGTTGAAGTAGGGATGCATGTTGACATAGGAATAGATTTGAACTTGAGGCAACATATGGTAAGACCGCTAGCAAACATCTCTAAAGAGAATTGTGTTCTATATGTATGTGACATGGGGCTAGTGAGGGGGGGTTTCATAATCAAGTTGTCACATATATTATCTAGCTTGTCAATCCTTGAGGAGTCTGGACATCTGAGGCCAGTTCCTCTAGATGCTGTCTTCTCTTTTCAAAAAATCCGTTTCTCGGCAACTCATGACTCGCGAGAGTACACCAGCTTTTTTTCTAGGCACTAGCATTGTTTAATCAATTGTGAAAATGGAAACCCTTCCTCTATTCAGTCCGACATACCCTACGTGGGCCACAATTCGGTCCGAAATGGGGACAATGCCAAGCACAAGCCCTCCAAGAGTTTGATGGATCAATACGAATACGTTTGGTATTACTGATTTAAAAATTGGTTTATTATCTTGTGGTTTTGTTTTTGCGAAAGTAACGGGCTGAGGTATTTGACACTGACTTGACGCACATGCGCCTGTTGCGAGAGGATACTACCAGGTTGTAGTATGAAACCTATATAGGTCAGAGGGATTTTACGAGAAGTCTACGTCGCTCTGGAGAGTTCTTCCTTCTTTCCTTGTCAGTCTGACAATAAGCCTGAAGACGTACTCATGAGAATTTGTTACGAGAACCCTTATCAATCTATGCCAAGGAGCGAAGTTGGTGTGCCAAGTATCGAGTTCCAGAGCAAGGGATAATATAACGCACACGATCCGGCGATTCCGGACTTTCTTCCAAAATGTGGGTGATATTTACCCAGCACTCTTGGCAATAAAAAACAGCTGAGGCGGGCCTGAGGAGAAGCGAAGGATGGACACCCCTGGCTCGCTGACGGTGAACTTGTTGGTTGCTCAAGGAACAATGCTAGCTTGACTGCAACCTAGGTAGGGGAGAAAGTGTCTTTTGTATTAACTCTGGATAAGAAATATGTGAAACATATCTGATGGAACTCTGATGCTTTTGTAACTTGAACCTTTCTTCATCCTCAGTTTCATCCAACTGCAAACCCGATGTGTGGCGGACCTCACTTCACCAAATGAGCATCGAGCCCTGACAGCCGATGAAACACTAACGGTACAGATGCTTGGCCTCTCTCATGACGACCGACGCTGGAAAGAAAAGGCTATTTCCACACGGACAATAACCTCAAAAAGGGCAACGACTGCCGTGGTTGTCTACCAAATCATGCCATCTCTGCGGCACTCAAGCTATCGGTGGGCCACTCAACGCCAAACGGTAGCACGTCAACCGTTCGCTGCCCGGTTTCGGCCGGCTAAACAGGGATCTAATCTTATCAATCTAACCCTCGGGCGCCTGGTAACATCATCATGGGATCAAAGAGCCCCCCCTTCCCCCCTCCTCTGCCTAGCGCGGCCGCCTCCGCCTCGTGCCCGCTTTGTTCGCTAGCGAAGAGCTTCTCTCCTCCATGTGTTTTGGTGTGAGGCGCCAACCGCAGCCTGTGGCCATTAACTCCTTGCTCCCCCCCCTCACTCCTTCTCTCCGGCTTTCTCCTTCTTTTTCCATGTGACGAGCTTTTGTACAATAAAAGGCGATTCCCTTCTGCCCATATCGCATAGAGATATCGGCATCGTTCCTTTTTGAAACACTTTCGGCCGAAACCTCGACCATGAAGTTTGCGCACGCCATCGCTGGCTTCGCTGCTACGGCGAATGCCTTCAACCCGACCGAGTGGTTCGCCGACAATGAGCATGTCGACAGCGCTCCTCACAGAATCCCGTCGGTCCACGAGTCGGTCGTCATGGCTCGTCGCATCCTCGCCCTGACCAAGCTTGCGACGCTCTCGACCGTCTTCCCCGGCGACCACGGCCTCGAGGCCAAGACCCTCCCCGAGGGACTCGGAGGCGTGCCCATTGGCATGATGGATTACGTCGCCGACTGCGAGGACGAAGGCAACCCGACCATCCTCGAGATTAAGATCGCAACCACTTTCCGAAACGTCCGAGCCGGATCCAACATTACCCTGTCCATGAACTGGGTTCCGCCGTATCCGCCTACCAAGCGAATTTCCTTCCTCTCGCGGCTTTCGGCCTACATCCCGTTCATCTCGACCTCCGAGTACAACACCCGATCCGAGGCGTCGTCCTCGGCCCCGGACACGGTGCCCTACTCGGCGGCCAACCTGCCGCGGTTCGCCGTCTTTGGCTACCTCGAGCCCATCGAGACGAACCCCGTGTCGGCCGTCAAGCTCGCCGCGTGCTTCACGAGCAGACACCCGGATGCCAAGTACTGGCTGCCGGGCAACGTTATCCACGAGAGCTCCTGGTCTCGCCTGGTGGTGACCAAGATATACTGGGTTGGAGGATTTGGCGACCGTGCGAGAATCGGGTGGCTTCCCCTCGACGAATGGAAGAGCGTCACCAGAGACGAGTGGGAGTCCATCAAGCTGCCCGGCGAGGAGAGGGGCTGGAGTGAGTGGTCAGTCAGTCCTGCGGGGGAGCTGTGATGGCATGACAGCCTGATGCAGACTACGTACCTGGCTACATGAGTTACTGTAACCTTTTGGGCCGGGAATTGGGTGATATTTGGGGCGGCATCATTCTTTTTGCATAGGTATGAACTAACTGGACAGATTGGATACGACAATCTTGACCGCATGGGAGGAGTTGATTTCTAGTTTGTTACGTTACGGAACGGCAGAGATCTCTCGGACGACAATAAGTCCTCTTCTGCACAGCATATGTTTGTCTCTCTACAACGCGGCAACCTGCAGCCATCTTCAAGGCATGTTCCTTGAGAAGACGAGCAGATAACCGAAGTAGCCCGCTTTTCCAATATACATTGTTTCACCTGCGCTGCGCTGTTGTCCAAAGCGAGAGCTGTGTGTTTGTGACGGGCCAAGGCTGTCACAGACATTTGGATCCATCCATCCCAAGCATGTCCCAGATAAGACACATCCGAATAAAGATCCATGTCGGGGGGCACGGGTACCGAGGGGAGAAGAAGCTTGGAAACGTCCGTGTCGCTGTGCTTGGCACCGCGTGGCGTGGTCACCAGTCACCTGCCCAATATCGACTCTTTCTTCTTCTGGTGAGATAGAGAGACACAAGTCCGTGGCTCGTTACAGAGGGCGACACGCTTGCTTGCTTGCTTGTTTGCTCACCGTAGCTCGGACCTCGCTCGCGCTCAGAATGGCTGACATGTCGTGTTACTGTCGCAGATGCACAGCTTGGGCGGAGTGATCCGGCACTCTGCGACCGGCCTGCGGACGATCTGATTCCCTGCGTCCAGGCGAGCGAGTTTCCCTGGGGCTGGGGGTTGCCAACGTGAGGAGTTCAGTTGAATGGGATGGGACAGGCGACAGGGTGTGTCCGGCTTCCCGTTTCGTGCATGGGTGTTCCGAAAGATCTACCAAGGGGGACGACTAATTAACGCTACCTACGGATACAGTGTGACGGAATACAGTGGAGTTAGACAAGGTAACTTATGGAGATGCCGGGGACAGTTGCAGCTCGACTCAACTCTCAACTGAACTCGGCGTCTTGGACTTGTTCTGCCCCACGACTAATTAGGAAGCTCTCGGAATAAAGCTGTTGAGACGGACAATGGATCCGAGCTTCTTGTGTTGTGTTCTGCTGGGAAACTCAATTAGCCTGTCGGCGGGGAAAGGAACTCGGCCCAGGAGATGATGCCGACGGCGGTCTACTATTAGCCTCCGTGAAGTCCGAGTAACGACGGGAAATAAAGCAAGCGATGACAATAGTTTTTCACATGAGGCTCCAGTTTCCGCCGCGTGATGGAGGATGGTGATGATGTCTTGCCCCGGACGTGGGCCGACCGACGACATCATCGTCAACTTCTCCGCATGGGATGGGACGGATGCTGCACACCGCAACGCAAACGCAACGCAGACGCAAACGCAGGGCTCAAGCCAAGCGAAGCGAAAAAAGCCAAGCGCGGTTATCGCGAGCCAACAGCAGCAAGCAATCAATCAAATCAAGCAAGCAAGCAAGCAAGCAAGCAAGCAAGCAGCAACATCACGAAAACCCCATGATCTGCTCCCTCATGATTGACCCGGAATCGCCCAATCCACCCCAGGAGATAGCGTTATTGGCTCATGGCCCCGATAATAGGTTCCGCTGCCCGCTGGAGCGGCGCGTCGACCGGGGGCTTGCAGTGGCGCACGCTTATTGCTTTCGCTCCCTCTCCTCTTGTTGTTTGACCCCCCCGGAAGTCCAAAATGCCCAGAGCCAGCTCGCTGGAGAAGGGGGGGGGGGGAGGGAACTGCGTGGGATGTGGATGGGTGGCACACACCGCGGCGCGGCCGCTGCTGTTAGGCGGTTCTGGATTAGGGACTATCGGTCGATTCTCTCTGGCTGACTAGTTATCGATGGGACGTGATAGACAGAGACGACGGATGGATGGAGGATGGCTAATGGAAATCAATATCCAGTGTTGCTCTCTTTTATTTTTGCCGCAGGTTTTGGAGAGAGCGGAGGCGATGGAACGCACGAGCGAATATTGAATCAGCTCCTTGATCTGGATTGGATGCCGTAAGGAATAAGCTGAGAAATGATGGCTGAATGGGTTGCTGCTGGCTGGATCGGAGTAGCTGTCATGTCCCGCAGACATGGATCGTACAAAGGACCGAGACAAGAGTCGATGGAGCAGCGTCAAGAAGCGTCATTGCGCCTCAGCCTCAACACTGCGAAACTGAGCATGTGTCTATTAACATGTTGAGCAACTCCGGGCCGGGTTGAAGTACGAGTTGGTCATGTCGAATCTGGCCTCTTTTGTTGACTCTCTCTCAGCCCGGGGTCGCCTCTACATGCGCAGCAACATCTGCACACCACCACAAGGTAAACGCACATTCCACGAGGGAAAATGCTCCTTGCGATCTTGGTCGGCGATTAGAGTGTGTGTTGTGTGTCTCTAAGCGGGGTTGCAGATGCAGATACCTGGGCGTTGTTGTAGAAGTTACTTTGGCCCTGCAAGCCCATACGTATCATTCAACTGCAGAGACGTTTTCTCGTTCGGGTATACACGACTGTGAAAACTTTATCAAGACGCACATCTTCGACCATTCCGATTCGCTTCATCTCGTCTCAAACAAACAATAGCCTGCGAAAAGAGGGGAAAAAAGGCAAGGCACAGTGCAGCTCAGCGCCGTGCAGTGCGTCCAACTGCCTGTTGTGTTGTGAAGCCCTGTGTCTCTCTGCCCGAACTGGGGTCCCGGGTCCATCCCCAATGGGATCCATCCAACCACGATCCATCTTTAGCACGATTCGTCGCCACCGAGCGCGCCGCCCCCCCGGGATTATCCCCCCCAATCATCCCGGATCCAAATCCCAAGTCCCCTAATAAAGCTCAGGTAATGGAATTGGATCCCCAATCCCAACCCCCGTCGGTCCCCGTAATCCGTAGCCCGTCGCCCGCAGCAGACACCGTCACGGTTAAAACGACTCAAGGGACCGATTTCTGGCAGGCGATAGAGAAGTATCTCAAAACCGAGAGACGGATCAGAACCCGGACTTTCGACACGCTTCAGGTATCGGGTACACCCCCCATCGGCTGCTATTCACCGAGAAACAGCGGCTAATCGGATCGCACCGCCCACTCCCGCCTGTACCCTCTACCTTCAGCTCGTCCTTGTCCGCGCCCACAACCCAGTGGATGGACGGTTCACCCACCCCCTCCCTAGGTCTCCGTCCCCATATTTCCTCCCGTCAGAGCCTTTTACCTTGCCTTGCCTCACCTCAGACGCTCAGGCTTGCCTTGCCTTGTGCCTCGCCCCGTCGACCCCATTCCCATCTCATAATCCAATCCATGTCGCCGTTTTCGGTCGGGGTTCCGTGCCGTTTGTGTGCTGCTCGCCTTTAGTATATTCCTCTTTTGTGCCGTACATACTGTACTCTTCCTCGCATCCATCCATTCTGGACTTTGCATCACACGAGGGCATTCGCGCCCCTCTCCTCTCCCTTGGACCCCATTATCTCGACGACAACGACGGCGCTCGCGATAGACGAGATAACATATAAACGCATCGCATCCGCGACCGACTCACTCACGGATATTGGCATCACGTTGATTGCTCCCTCGCTTGCATCGGATTGCGCGGCCGAGATACCGATTTCAGCTCACGAGTCACCCACCACGACGCGATCGAGGCTTTGAACCCTATCGGGCGATATTTTGACGTCGAGCGGATCATATCGCCCTCTTACCTCAGCACCAACTTCGCAGGACACCGCGGCCTCATCTCGAGCGATCGCGTTGCCCTGTGATTTATAAATTTCCACCTCGACCAACATTCAACACATCGAATACCTAGATCTTCCGGAATGGCGCCTCCGCCCCCGACCCAGCAATGACCTCGCGGACCCCCATGGGCGTCCAGCCGCGGCCGCCTCAGCGCTCCGTGAGCTCTTCATCGCTACCCGTTCAGCGCCCTCCCAATCAGCGCACGTTATCCGGGCAGCAGCACCAGTTCCTGCCCGCCTCGCCCGTCCGGAAAGACTCGTCCTTTATCGACCTCACTGGCGATTCCACTGATGCCACCCCTAATCGCTATAACACAACCCCAAGACGGGGCGGCTCACGCCTCCGCCTCGAACTATCCCACGATGCCTCCGCCGGCCATATACCCGCTACCGAATCTCCCCAGAGCCTCACCCCTTCACGCCTACCGACAAACACCGACCCCTTCTCGACTGCTGCCGTCAGTCCAGCAGCCAGCAACAGCGCCAGCTCGACCATGATGCCGATGCCGACGCGCCGCCCACCTCCAACACAGCCTAGATCCGCCCCCCGAATAACCACAGCCGCGCCTGCGCCGGCGAAGAAGGATACCCGACCGAAGCCGTACACGGTCGAAGTGCCTCCTCTCGCCCCGCGATATCTGACAACGAATCGATCCGATATTCCCGGCCGAACTCCAGTAGACCCCTTCAGCAAGGGGCTCAACTCAGGATACGCCGATTTCTTTCCGTGGAATGGATCGCATCACGAAGATGAGTGGAGCAGCGACGCCATCACGAAGGGTACGTGGGACAAGGTCAACCTGAACGTTGCCGAGACGTCTTCCGCGAAGTTGGCTATTTTCCCAGCCCTGAAGCAAAAGTCAGGCTTCAATGCTCTTTCTACTATTTTCATGGGCGTCTTGACTCAGCGCAGGCACCGTGGTCAGATCACAGCGCCCTCAACGTTCAAGCCGCCTCCTCGAGTGACCCTTACCGATACGAAGAGAGAGGTCTGGCTCAAAGACCTGGCGAACCCTGCGATCTCCCTGCGACGCCTCAGCCGGACGATTCCCCACGGAATCCGCGGCAGAACCCTGCTTGACCAGTGCCTGAACAAGAACGTCCCTGCCGAGAGGGCTGTCTGGTTAGCCAAGTGCGTCGGCGCCAACGAGATAAGAGCTTTCAAGCGAAAGGGGGTGAATGGTGCTTTTGTCATGGGGGGTGAGCTGAAGTGGGCTCGAGACTGGACAGGCCTTGTTGAGCAGTTTGTCGATTCTGTTGTGAATGGGTTCGGCGAGATGGACTGGAAGAACAGAGTTACATATGCGTAAGTTATCTGCTTCTGCTTCCAAGGCCCAATTACTGACTATTTGATAGCATCCGTCTGGCAACAAACTTGTATTCCGAGCAGTTGCTAGACAGAGATCATTACCTAGACTGGGTTGTTTCGGGCGTTGAAAATAGCCCTCAGTCTAAAATTCCTATGTGGATTCTCATAGCCCAGATATACTGGAAAGATCTTCTCAGATCTCGCAAGTATGGCCGACGACTTGTATTTGCACTTCTCAGCCATCTCCATGTGGTAAGTTTTGTCCTCATTGTTAATTCAGTTGCAG